AAATAAATAACGTTCTTAAACTAAAAAATGAAATCAAGTATTGCAGTGTGTATCTGATCAAGACTTCAGGCATTAACTAATAAGAAAAAAAAAACAATATGTAATATAATTAATTTTTCACCACTAATCAAGAAATCAGCATCAAATGAAAAACAAAATCTTAATTAATTATTGTATGAATAATTATGTCAGCATGACAATAAGTGGATAATAAATAAGTATATATTTTAAAATAAAGAAAAGAAGGAAACCAATTTCTTTTTTGTTAAGGCACATAAAATTTTAAATTATTGCATACAGTTTTCAGAGAAAAATACAAGTGAATTATTAATTAGCTTCATTATAAATAAAATGTTTCACAATATAAAAACCAACTAAAATAAAACAATTTATTTTAAGAATATAGTTTAAAATGGTCCCATCCTTGGTTGGTTGAACCTTAAATTGTATTGATTTTAAAGAGATAAAGAAATTATAACAAAACAAAAACATTCTCAACTCTTTTAAGTATGTAATTAACATCTTATACAAACAGGATAACCTTTTCTATTAGAACCTTAAAATTTGTTAGATGTATTGATACAAAAAATCAAAAATAAGTTGAGTAATTTTACTCCATAGGAAATTTTATCGTGCAACTTCATGTAACTTATCAGGAATGGCAATTTACAATCAGTTTTACTTAACCTAAAGATACTTTAAAACCATCTAACATTTATAGCAATTGGTGTTTAACAACCATATAAATGTTTTTAATCTATTCAGAATAATTGACGGTAACTAAACAATCACCTATTTTAAAACAAATTTCGACTAGCTAAATAAAATATATTTGTTTTTCTTATAACTTTTTTTGTAAAGGAAACCAGTTACGGTTTATAACTTCTTAATATAGTAAAAAAATATGTTTAAAGATTCTTTATCGCTAAATTCTTAATTGTATTATAAGTAATGAATCCGTAATATTTAAAAAAAAAAAAAAATCAACAAAACAAATTCAATCAAAGATCTGTAACATTATAAAATTTAATTTCGGTTCGCATAAAAAACTAAAATTTCTTTTTAAAAGTAAAATTAATATCATATCCATTATTATCAAAAGGTCTCGAATATTTATTCTGTCTTAAAAGTTCTGTCAATCAAAACTGGGATTATATAAAAATATTAGCAGACAAAATTGCAATATAATTTTGATAATTTTAAATCCTTTATAACGACAGCGAAGCTCAGAGCCATTGACTATATATTATTTATTATTATTATTAACCATTGTCTATATACCCCTCCTCCACTGAACCAAACTGAAATTCGAATTTACAATGTCAGTCTTAATGTAATCTTCCAATGCATGTTTCTCTAAACCTCAGAAGTAGATATCTTTATATGGATTCATCCATTATCAAACCTAACAACTGCCTGTTTTAACTGATGTAATGTTATTATTCCAAATATTTTTATCAGATGCATACCTTGCAGTTCTAAATTGTTTAGCATTCTAAGAAACGATAAGAATTTGAAACTCTTACAAAATGATATTTATAAAAAAATAAATTACCATAAGTTATATAAATTCATAGAATTCACTTTGCTTATGATAGATAGCAAACAATTAAAGTAAACAAAAATTTATTTTTCGTTACAATAATATTAAATTTTATTACGTATGATTCCTTATCAATTTTCTTTAACTAAAACTTGTTTTAGTTTTTTTGGCTACGTAAGTTCTACTTTTCTTACCACAACAATGTTGTCTTGTGGAAATCTTTTGTCTGACCAGCTCTGAACTTTGGGCTGAAACGTCAGCAAAAATAAAAATAAATATAATTTATTTATTTTTACATTTTTTTTTCGTTTACTGAACACCCCAACCAATCTTTTCTTCAATAAAACTTGTTTTACAACATTTTAAGAAGATTTCAACAATTGCATTAAGAATAATCCAAGAAGTCAGTTAAAAAATTTATGTTAGTTAAAAAAGGATTTTGGAAACAATTGTTTAGTTTTATTTTTTCTATAGTTTTAATCCATTACATAAAAAAAAAAAAAATCATAGCAAATTTTCAGGAAATGTATTAGTTAGATTGAAATAATTCATAACTAAATATCTAATAGAATTTTTGCTAGACACTTACTATGGATGTAGTATTTTGGAACTATCCTCAACAATTGAAGACTTGAAAATCAAAGTGATCCAAGCACCAAAATTGAAAATCATTTATAACTTACAAAACAATCCATAAATTAATTCCCTTCCAAAAAAAATTAAACATATGTATCATAGAAAATAGCAACATTTTATGTTCTTCTGAATGTTAGGTTCTGGTTTGGAAGCCAAGAAAAATTTTATTTGATGATTAATTTCATAAGAAAAAATTATTTGCAATGATACCCTAACTCTGTTAAAATTCCAAATCTTAAAAAAATTGATGTATATAATCTTTCCAATCAAGAACATACATATTTAATATAGTCAACCTGATGATTCTGAAATTAATATTTTAAATGGTAGTTTGTAAAAAAAAAATACTCAGAAAAAATGTTCACCAATTAAACTGTTTTCTCAGTTTAAATAAGCATAAGCTCCATTATATTCACTGAAAGCAAATGTACATTAGAGAGAATCGCTCATACATAACTCCATCTGAAAAATGAATGGCAACTTTCATTAATAAAACAATGTCATATTTAACAAAGCACGATAATAACAAAAATAAAACAACAATGAATAAATACTCTTAAAAGTAATTCAAAAGTCTTAACAATATCCATTATTCTAATGGAAATAAAAACAGGAACACTTAAGCAACAATAAAAATCACTGAGCAAAAATCAGTTAAAATCAACATAAATATTGTAAAAAACAATACTTTAGCAAATATTTCTTTAAAAATACAATGTATTTGTCATAAACTAATGAACACATCGTAACCCTCAATTAAGAAGCTCTAATAATTAGTGCAATGAGACTAATAATTTGTCTTTTAGGTAGAAAAAAAAATTAACAATGACAAATATAACATGAACTATTTTGTGCCTTTACAAGTAAACATCTACATGATACCATGTGCAATATTAACTGCTAAAGTCAAAGATGATTTGGATTTAACTCACTGATAATAGGATAACAAAAATTGAATAAAATAAACCATTTACTTTTACACAGTTTGAAGAAGAGAAATAAATTCAAATAACAAATGAACTAAAAATTAATTAGTAAATCATATCAAGCCAAGAATATTGTATGACATCAAATTATGAGAAAACACTTTTATGATCAATCACTATTAACGTGACTCATCGATTAAACGAAGTAGTCTAAAACTATGTCCCGGACAGTTTAAACCAATTATACATGATCTGTTCTTACATTAATCAGAACTATTAACGTAATGAGAATGTGCCTACTCATAACAAGATACAATCCACTATTTTAGATTTATTTTTGTGTTCATATTTGGGATTTATAAACAATTAGTGCATACTGATCTAATTCTAATGCCCATTAGAATAAACAAATTATTTTCCTTTTGTGTTGACCAAATCATTGATTGATCATTTAATCAATATAAATCATAGCAGCCAACCATATATGCATTGAGTCGTCATTTACCAAAGCTTGTCTAAATCTATAATTATCAATATCAAGAATTATTTTCTTCGGTAAATGGGTCTGTGAATCTGACAGTTATATTAACTTTTTCAAAAATCCTCATAAAATAACAAAAAACCTATTTTGAAAAATGTTTTTTCAAAACGTACTTAGCAGGAATTTTGTTTTTTTCAAAAACCGTCCTTAAGTTTGAAATTATTTCAATCCCAAAAGTCATTTTACTTTTTGTCGTTTTTAGACTTACTCTGTGTTTCTGTCATATCTTATAAATTTCTTAACAATATTTAGATTTACCTACAGATTTAGCCAAGTGTTATATTTAAATGTGATGAAACAGTTTGTCAGATGGAACAATTGTTCAATATGAGGTTTTTATTTCTTAACCTCTGTTATTGTTAGAAAAATGTATGACATTACCTCTTTGTTTTCATTGAACTTAGTTCATGGAATGTTTATATTAGATAAGGTGTATTTATTTTGAATATAACTGTTATTTTTACACGATGAAATTATCATTTTTAAAAGGATTTTGTTTGGATATTTCTTTCAAAAGCACTTAATGAAAAACATCTATATGGGATTTTCTTTTGAAAAGTCATCATAAGAACTTTTTAGGATGAAATAATTTCAAAACTAAAACTCAGAGGTTTTTTAAACAAAATAAATCAACAGAACTTTTCTTCTTGGTTTTTAGAAAAAAATTCCGGCCACATTGATCAATGTATTCTTAAGCATGTGTTTTCTTTAAAAATAAATTTTATCATTCAGAGGTTCTTGGAAATAACTCACTTCTAATTTCTATATTAAACTTATTTGAAACATAACATTAATTCTTTTTAAATGAACGATAAGCACATACAGCACTAAATTCCTAGCATTCAGCAATCTCTTGTCTGTATCATAGTGAAAGATTGGGCTCTGTATGAATGTGATAGTGGAATATATTATAACTTAACTACATCACTGACCGTCAGCAATATCGTCAACTGTACACATCACATTCTGTGTGCAGAAGTTTTTAGGACTTTTACAGAATTTAGTGCTCTGTAACTCTCCTGGGGATGCAATTAATTAATTTAAAAACTCTCTAATAAGTAAAGAAACCTCTTAAGATGGATCCCAATTTTAATTACTACTTCAATATAGCAATATACATCTTGTACTAACACTTCAATTTGTAATATTTCTAAGTTCCCATATGTGCCAATTAAATCCAATAACATCTCTGACAAACTAATAACTATGTCAATTAAAGGAAATCCTTTAAAAAAAAAAAAAAAGAATAGAAAAACAATTATAAAACAAAAATGAAATGTATAGACATATAAATAAGTAACATTTCCTTAATATTTCTAATGTTTTAAGGAATAATCATTATAGAAAAATATCAGTTTTATTATTAAGTCCCTTCCTGAGATTACATTTAAATGCAAAATTTGTGATATGGTAGAATTAAATTTATATTCATACGGTCTATAAATATTCAATTCTATCATTTTTAATGCCGAATCAGTATTTGAACTACAACAAACCACAAATAAAACTACCAATTTAAAATTAAAACATCAATATGAAAGGATTACTTCTACAATAAAAATAATTCACAACCAATGCCGAATTCTTTGAATTACATAACCAGTACAAATTTCAACTTACACCAATATTCATTATAGTTTTATCCTTATAGAAAAATAACAAAAATAAGAAGAATTATTGCTCTCGATTATTCGTTCAAATCAACTTTCTTTTTTTCATCCAGCCATTTTATTCTTGGAGAATTAAAACTTAATCTTTTTTTGCTGCATATGTCCCCCGTGCCCTCCAAGCAGTAACTAAGTTGTTTGCAAAGTAGAGTGAAAACAGATGTACTTGGATGGCTTGAATAATGAATCCATACCACAGCAAACCATAAGGATATTCCTGCATAACATTAAATGACAAAATTATTAAAGGAGAAAACACTTATTTCTTAAGCAATAATAGTATTGAGGCATTGTGATTTTTCAACACAAGTTTATAAAAATAACAGTAACCTTCATGACCAAAAATAAACATTGAATACTTCAAAACTTTGTAAGAGATTTTAACAGAATTACCATCATTGTAACTTTACTAAATTTAATTCTAACAACATAAATAAATTAAGAAGATTAGAGGATGACACTAAAATACTTCAAATATAAAATTAAACTCAGTTTTCACGAATTAAACCTACCTGCCATAACTCAATTTCTTCCGTTTCACCAGTGGTAATATATGTCCATACATCTGGTAGGTAATAAATAGTGGCATATAAAATCGGCAATATACCAAATAAAGTGATTCCCATCATATATCTTTTCATCATAACTATCCTGTTTCTCCGAATAGATGCTAGGCCAAGAAAAGTGAATAGAAGGCTTATACACCAGACATATTCCCATATTAGAGGCTTGAAAAGAAATTTAGATCAGATATTAAGTAAACATTAAGTCTTGGCACACTAGTTAGTAAAAATACTAACATAAAATAAAAGGATGTGAAGAATCACAATCTTACTTTAGGAATTTGAAGTTCTTCAATTTCAAGAATAAAAATATCGAGCCTATCAAGTATATCAGCTGATAACTTAGCTAACATTACAAAAAATAAAAGGTAGTGGAAGAACACACAATATTTAAGCCTCGATTTATTTTGTGCACTGAAAAATAAAAAGGGAAATAAAATTAAAGAGGAGCTTGGAAGTGCCTGAAATGAACCATACAATAAGGTGAATATATAATGGTATTTACAACAAAAATAATAATACACATTAACATAACCTCTACAGTTGGTTAAGTTAATAACACTTAACAAAAAGGAAAGTCCAAGCAACTTAAATCCTATTAACACTAAAATCTACCAAAAAATTATTAATATTAACCTTATTTGATATTGTGCTGCAATTCGTTGTCTTTGAGGAAAATCTGTACCATCGGTTCCAGACACCATAGGTCCACCTCGAGATGCCATTTTAACAATATTTTAATATTACCAACAACCCAAGCTTTGAAAGTTTCAAAATTTTTAGTGGTATGTTTCTTTTCTCAATTACACGAGTTTAAAAATTATATTCCCTTACTGGTTACGATTTCAACAAGAGCTCTGATACATGCTGCTACCTGGTGAACATTAAGAAAATGTCTAAAAGCTGGATAACAGAAGTATTAAAATACAAAATAAAAATAATACCAACAGGAGTAATCAACAATCGATGAAATATTAATCCAACAATATCCTCAAAGATTTTACGAAAATAATTGAATAAGATATTGGTTTCACAATAATTTCAAGTTTACTTTTGACTTCGTCAGTGGTACACTTGTAGATGATCATTCCACCAACATGGCCGTCAGAAAAAGTAGTTCGTGCCCGAATGGATTTAGGCTTTGAAAGCTTATCTTTTATCTGCCTAGAATCATGAAGTATAGTTAAAAATTACAAACAAGTTATGCAAGGTATAAAGTTTTAATTTATTAATTGACAGTAAGCCTCTAAAAGGTTTTTGTTATTGTGGCGGAGGAACATAATAACCTTTCTGCCCTAACCTCCTTTCGCGCTATCCTTCTATTGATGTAGAAATGCGAAATAATGTTTTGTGCTGTGTAAAAATGTGTCGGTTTTCTAGTAGTGTTTTGTTGTTAACTGGCCCGAGCGTTGCCAGAAATATGTGTGTGAATAAGTGATGGGAGTAATATGGTTTTCAGTGAAGTGGCTTTCGAACATTTTCGGTATAACGTAAGGAAAAGCTAGATGTGTTTGCAGTGGCGGGGTGTTGGCAGCGATAGAGGCTCTGCCTAACATGGCTGCAACGCAAGCTGAACCCCAGCAAAATGACGTGAATCGGGATATTGTGCATCAAGATCAGCCTCAAATATCGTTAAATAATTCTTTCCAAAATGGAACAGATAATGGAAATTGCCGCAGTGTTATAGGAACTGATGTAGTCGGCAGTAAAGGTAAAAAGCCTATACAAAGTAATATTTCTGTAGACATGAGTCAATATCGTCAAGAAACTGGTCCCTCTATTAACAATAGTGAACAAAATGTTAATAGTTCAGAAGACAGTGGTGGTAAAATTAATAATTCCGATAAAAGTTTTCCTCATAATTCAGAACAAAGTGCTAGTGAAGTTAACTTTGGAAAAGGACCCCCAGACGGTCAAAACATGCAGGGATATGGGTTATCTTTCCCTCCAAGAGGGAATTATATGCATCCTGAAGCAGGTAATCCAATGCATTTGCCAGGTGGTGATTCTATGCACCACCAAACAAATTCTTATGGACATTTTAACCCTAATATGAGACATTCATATCCTGGTGCAAAGCCGCTCCCAGTACCTACCAGACCTCCTAGTGGTGGACCTATTTCTTCGGGTGGCTTTCCTCATTCACAGCAACAGAGGTTTATAACTGGACAAAGTATATCACCCCCAACAGGACCTACACCTACCCTTAATCAGTTATTACAGTCATCTAACTCAGTGCATCGATATCAGAATAGTTATGGTGATTATGCTATGGCGAAAACCAGTGAACAGCCTCAAGGAACCATGCCTTATAATCAGAATTGGCCTCCTCCTCGAGGGCCGATGGGACCATATCCTCCTCAACAACCTGGTCCTGGATATAGGAATCAACCTTCAGCCGTGAGTTTTCTGTTTGTTGTGCATGTGTTATTTGCTTGCATGCTTTGTAAATTATTAAATGAAATAAATGATTTATTTTTTGATAAAGGATTTTCATTATCTAGTTAGAACAATTTGTATACTTTACTTAATTATATTTGTGTTTAGTAAAAAGTAGCTCTTGAAACGCTAAACCTATTGTTTAGTTAGGCTTCGTTATATTTGTCAACTTCTATTCTTTTTATTTTAATCGATTCCTATCTACATTCACTCCTCTGATAGTTCTGAACTGAATGCTTGGTATCACTAAGAACATCTGTATATCTTTTATCTTATTGGTGCATCATTATCATTATTGTATCTTATTTCATTTAAGTATGGAGTTGGGTTTATGGCATTGTTTCTACTAAAAATAACATATTTATATAATTAGTGCTTTATTTTATTTCAATGTATTTATTTAATTTTGATAATGAATATAATCTTATTTTGCAAATATCAATTTGCATTACCAAGGATTTATAACCAATCAAAGAGGAAATAAAGACTACATTATTTTTCTTGTTTCTAAAATAATTTTACTTTTCCTAATGACTGGGAAGTCATCATATTTAACATCTTGATCGACTTCTTTTTGAAATTAACTTCTTCTGTTTTTGTGATAACATTATAAAAAGTGATACTGTAATGTGATAAAAATATCCAACTTTTTTTCTGTTTGATTTTATGTATTTTTATCGAGATGATTTTAGTATACATTTCTGTTGTTGGAACTTTCTTTTTCCTTATGATACACAGTAGAAGTTTTTTTTTTTCTTGTTTAATTAAATTTTATATATTTGTTTTAAGATTTGATGTCCTTGTACTTTCAGTGTTATTTCTTTTACTTTTTTTCATTGTGGTTCAATTGATTTGTTGTAACGCGAAGATTTTATAATTTTGTTTATACTTCTTAAAATTGTGGCAATTTTTTTTTATTGTATAAAACTATTAACTAACTATGTATTTGCTTCTTAAATCTCATTTTCTAGTTTCTTAAACCTAGTTACGACATTTGTTAGGTTTGAGACAATCAAGTGTAACGCTATTTCCAACATTTATTGGACTTGAAGAATACAAAAATCTTACCTGTTTCATGTATATATTGTATTGTTTATTATTATTTAAGTAGCTCTTGTAAACTCAGAAACATTGTTAGTAGGTACTAGCTATAATTGTTTTTTTTTTCCATTTTCAGTTATATTTGTGTTGATGATTATCCTTCTATCCTTCATCAATTAATGGCTAAATTTTAATCAGAATAATTTTTTGAATTTTTTACAATATAGCCTATTTAGACTTTCTTTCATCTTATTTATTAGGGTTTCCATTATTAATCTTGATCATAGACATTTTATCCTGACTTCCATTATTGTTTTTTAACTTATTATCATCAATTTTCAACAGGATATTGTTCATGTAAAATAATTTTTTATAGTTATTATTTAAAAAAAAAAAAGAAATTAGTTTTGATTAATTACACAGTATTTATAGTAAAGGTTCAGTTTGATAAGTTATATGGATTTCTTTGAATGATATTTTGTCCATTTAAGTGATATCCCCTTATCAGAAAAAAGTAAGATTCTGCCTAGCTTCAATTATCGAAAAAAATCTATATATTATCTCATTTTCCTTTTTTAGATTATTTTTAATTCCTTAATTTCAAATGTCAATTAATGTATTGAGGTATATAAGTAATATGAGTCATTTTAGATTTAATATATCGCTTAAAATTGATCTTATAAATAGTTAAATTACTAAACTTACAGTTATGACCATCATTAGTTATCGATCTATAATATAGGTTAGTTGAAAATTAATTATTTAGCTTTGAAATTTCTAATAATTGTGTTTTCATAATGTGAATGCTCTCATCTGATCCGCCTTGAAGAAGATAATACTAAAATCGTTTTAGAAATAAGTATATTTTGTTGAAGTACTATAATTTGTTTTCATCGTAAGTATTAAGTTTACTTAGATTTTATCTGTTAAATTAAAATAAAGGAGATTAATTAAAATTGCACTTAGTACCCAAACATCAAGTCACAGTAATATATTAATCTACGTCGTCGACTCCCTTATTGGTGTAAATAAAAATATATTTATATATTATTTGAAGATCAATACATTTTAGTGCATTTCGTTTTAATTATAAAGTATTAATATGCATTATGGTTTTGATTTTTTTATTTCTTCCTCCATTGCCAGTTAAAATATGTTTTTGTAGGTCAAGTAGTTTTTATTGTTTTTACCATTTTCAGTTCCTTATGTATAGGTTTCCATTAGCCTTGTGGTTTATTAATGATTTCTATCTTCTAAATAGCTTTTTTTATCAATGAAATTTAATTAAAAAATATTTTGAAATTGCCAATTGGATTTGTTTTTCTGTTTATCTAAGTCAGCCTAAATTATTCCTCTTAAGTAAGTTTTTATCATCTTTCATTAAACTGCCAGGATTTTTTTTTTAACATTGCCTTTAAGATGTATTACATATTTTAAAAACGGTTTCTTTATTAACTTGAGAATTTTCCAAATGATAGAATTCTTTTCAATTTTTTTGGGAAGGTATTATATATTCAATGAAATTTATGATAACAAAACTTCTATAGTTATTCTTGTTTATTTGTCAGAATTAACTTATTGTTATTTTAGTTAACGTTATGATTCATTGATCGTTATCATCTTCATCTTTAGATTGATTTTGACATATACAGAAAAATGTCTATAAGTTTGTTTGCAATGAATTTCATTTTCCTTTTCTTTTTTTAAAATAATTTTGAACAAAAATTTCTCTTAATCAAATCGAATTACTTGATGTTCCATAGAATTTTAAACGTTAATGAAAGCATTAATGGTAAATTATATTCGCCTAACTCGATGTTTAGAAATGAAATTAACCATCTAACCTGCTGATAATATAATGGGTAATTCTTAACTATTTAGCAATTTAATTATTTCTTATTGTTCTATTTTTTATGTACTGAAATTTTTATTTCTATTTTAAATTAAGCGAACATACTGGTGTGTTTATACAGCTTAAATAACAACAAACTATATTTCGGTGACATCCAAATTTAAAGATTTAATACAAAAATATTAGAACCAATGTAAATAATTGTCCCTGATAAGAAAAGAAAATAAGTAAGAAGCCAATCATATTTATTTTCATATAGTAACACAAGACAATGATATGCAATTACTTAAACTATGTTTCGACTTAATTATACCTTGTTTTTTTTTATCTTTTTATTAATAATTTTTATTGATGTTATAATATAACACCAGTTGCGCATGTAATATAAGTATATAGTATTATATTGTCACAATTTGAATATTTATTTACTTTCCTGTGTATAGTTGTACATTTTTACATTCTATTGGATGTGTCCTTGGCAATAATAATAAAAATTTGAAAAAATTAACTTTTTATGCCTTATCTTAAAATGACTATAACATATTTCTTAAGTTGAATTTTATATTTTAAATGTCCATGCCACCGTTATGGTTTTACCGTTAAAATAACTTCATATTATTATCATTCTTACCCAGCAATATCTTGATGAAATAGTATCATTATGTTTGTATTTATAAATACAAATACAGACTTTTACAATTATTTAATCTTATACAAACTTATTTCTTAATTTTATGTTATATTATTTTGATAATTTCTTTGGGAATGATGTTTTATGATTGTCTTGATTTCGTATAGGAATGTAAGGAATATTATATATTTATGTATTGTGTTCTGTGTACTGATTGTTTTGAGTCTATATTGTGATCATTTTTTTTTCTTTTGGGACTAAAATGATATATTTTTTATGTTTGTCCTCATTTAATTGCAAATTCAAATCTTGTTGTAAGTAGATAACAAATAATGAATGGCAATTTGGTTTCATTTATAGTGGATTTATTAGATAATAGTAATATTATCACACTGTTGTTTCAATTTATTTATTTATTAACCCAATAAAAATGTCATTGTACTAAAATACTTATCTTGTAGAAGTTGTACAATCTATTAATTGGTTAATCTATTACTTCTCCAGTGTAAATAGAGGAAATTGGGTCTTTACAGTTGATAATTTTACTTTTTGTTTTTAAAGCCATATATTTTGAAGCAATTCATTTACTCAATATGTATCATTGTTATTAACGATTGTTTAAAAAAAAAAAAAAAAAAAAAGTGGTTGTTTAATTTGTTTAATAATTCATTGTTTTAAAGATGGATGCCTAACTAAAATTCCCTCCTTTCCTTTTAACCATGGGCTAACACAAAAGTTGAAAATTTAAGGAGGTTTAAGTACAATAACTAATATATATTTTTTAAATGTTACACTATCTACATTACAGTGATTTTAAATGGTACCAAACATTTTTTAGTTAAAACGATAGCAATAAATTTAAAGGCTTATTATTACAAGTGACCTACTATTTATAATCCAGAAGAACATTAATTCTTCTTAATCTTTTCTGGTTATTAAGTATCATTCCTTAAACCCTGGCATAAAAATCGCTTTGAAGTCATACTGGTTGTGGTGGGGTTGTTAACTGTACAGTGCTGCTCTCTGTTGTAGCCTTGGCTGAGTTGGTCAAGCGAAAGTGAAATTTTGAATTATAGTCCGATTTTGTAATTTTTTGTATTTATTGTGAAATTATATCTTTCTACGTTTATGGAGGTATGTTATTTATTTAACGAACCAAGATAATTGTGTAATTAATATTACTTCTATTTCAGATAACCAAGATATGGAATGAAACAAATTAATGTTTTGTATTATTAATTAAATATATATATATATATATATTGAATATTATATATAATATATATTATTAAAATATGGCTGTTATAAAAACACTTCTGAATACAATAACAATTACGTTAATTATAAAAGTATATATGTTGAAGTCTTGAATATAAAAAGATTTTTTTTTAAAAAAGCTTATTCCAAAAAATAGTATTTCTATTTTGAAAACTAAAAAAGTCTGTTAGATTGACGATTTATTGAGGAAGGGTTAAGGTATTATTACATCGTCAATTACATTAGCACAGCTTTTGAAACGTATATTACCATCATTAGATTATGTATTAAGCGCAATGACAATCTTTTAAACATGTTGAGTCAACTAAAGAGAAGGCTGATGTTCCCACAGCCAACTGCCTGCTGTCTTATTTAGTAGATCAGGTTGGGGAAAATTCATACCTATACTAAAGGAAAAAAAATGAAATACCGTTGAGATTGTTTATTCAAAAATTACCTGTACGATTTGGATAATTCTTTTTGCGTTTGATAGCCCATTTATTTAAGATGTCGTTTGTTTAAGATAAACATAAATACACCATGCTACGGACCCATATGAAGGGACCTTAAGCATCAATCTATCTGGAAAACAAAGCGTATGAATTTATTGAAAAAACAGTGGAAAAAGTCAGTTTTCCAAAGTACTATTTATATCAGGTTGCGAAAATCAATTCATACTTGTACACCAGGAAGAAAGAAATTCACCGTTTTAGCTGAAGTAATGTACGATTTCATAATTTAGTTTGAAGCATACGGTATTCTTAAAAGAAAAAAATGTGATGTCATCAAAGTGAAGATGTTTTATGCTGTCATTATTTCTTTTATTCGTTTATGATTCGTCTATTTGTTTTTCCATATAAATGTTATTTCACATATATTTTATTCGGTGAATCAAATACATTTATTGTGTGTATAGAGCATGCATGTATAATTTAAAGGTATATAAATGATATTAAACCTTTATTTGTTTTTCAAATTATCATTATTATTGTATAATTTACAGATTTAATTGAAATTTCTAGGCCTTCTTGGTTAACATTGGGCCATTTCATATGTTCACCGCCCTGATCTGGTTACCCCTTGATACACTGGCATTGATCCTTGCTCTCCCACTTATATCATTTTGTTGTGGCTGTAATGTGGCACGAAGGCTATTGTTGAATAATGTTAGTTTCTGTGTATTGTAGAACCAGTTTTCTTTGTTCCAGTGATCACTTGTTGGTAATTTTTTTTTTGTGTGTACTTTTACCTTCAACCGACTTCCCTATTAAGGATCTACGGTTGAACATTTCTTCACCGGCGATATAGTTAATATTGTTTATTATTTGTTATTCCTCATTGATCATGGAAAAGAGATGTTTTCATAAATATCTTTTCTATTGACTTTTTACGTACTACCTGGAATATGCTTGCGCATTTCTAGTGGTACGTGTACCATAGTTTTGTAACCGTTAAATCTCGGCGTTTTCACGATTGAGAACTATTTTGACACGGTATCTGCTAAAAATGATCTCTTCCTTACTTACAAGGCATTTCGACAAAGCTCGGTAGGGATCCAGCTCGTCGTAGTTATCGCATATTTTGCTCATTAGGTGGAAGTGAGGTTTAAGTATCCTTTGAGGGATGGATAAGAGTGTCTGGAAGACAGTGATCCCCGGCATTGAGGTAGGAATCTCTAATTGTATCCCTATGTAAATGGTTCTAGGTCAAGGTTTTGAGGTTAATGTGTTCTCCCTTAGCAAGGCCCCTTACATAACCTATCAATCCCCTCCCTTCCTTTTTCCTCCTTTTTATGCAAATACCGGCATTAATGGCCATTGTTCTCCCTCCCTCTTTTATTTTCTTTCCCTCTCGGCCCTCTCCTCTACCGTTCCCTCTAGCTATTTATTGCCGAGTGACAGTGCTGGAGACCCTGTAACGGTAAACGATTCCTTTTATTAGGGTGTCCGCTAATGAATGTCAGGTCCTGGTCTTCCATTGTATCTGTTCTCTCGACCATCCTCCGCCTTCTTTTCTTTTTCTGCTTTTTGCTTCGTATTTCACATTCCTTTTACTTATTTTTGTTTCACTTTTGCCTCGTAATATTTTCTAGTACTCTCCATCTGTAAAAATCTGCACTCCATCTGAAGTATTAGTAGTAATATTTTTAGATCTTACTCGGTTTGCACGATTCCAAGTTTCCTCAATGCTTCAGCAATTTTGATTATTTTATTTTTTCATGTTTCTTTTATTTACCACAATGGTCAAATCAATACTATTAGCAATTGCATTCCTTTTACTTATTTTTTTTTTTACTTTTAAATCATAATATTTTCTAATATTATCCATCTAAAAAAATCTGCTGTCCATCTTATGTATTAATCGGGAAAAGAAGTATTTTGTAAATCTTTCTCAATATCTGCAATTCTCCAAGTCCCCGTGAATCCCCCAAATATTTTTTAACTTTCCACAATGCTTAAAATCGATATCAGGTATACTATCATCATTATTTTTTGTCAAAAAATGTTATTTAAAATTGGATAGAAATATTTATGCGTTATTTTTTCATTAAACAGAACATAAAAATTGTAAACATTAAGTGAAGAAAAACATTTAAAATCTCATTTTTTTACCTTTTCATTAGAAGATTTAGAATGTTTGTCTGTGCCTTTAACAGAATTTATTAGTATTTAAAAAAAAAAATTGATTTTGTCTTAATTTTAGCTATTATATGGCCAGATACTCTGATTCTGTCCCCCTCATTTTCCCTTTAAGAAAGAGAAAAAGAATTTATAAAAACAATTATATTTTAATTTCCTTGTAACCACAGGGAAATCTACGGGAAGTGGGGCTTTCGGGCTTAACTCCATGTTAAAATTTTTAAACATTTTGATAATCATTTTCTGAAAGACGTGTTTTCCTCTCATTTTCAAATAAAAAAATATATATAATTTTATAAGTATTATTTTTTTTTTTCTTTTATTGGTTTCATATATAATAAAATTTTGAACTTATATATAAATTTTAGATGGGAAAGAGAATCAATTGTCCTTATTAAAAAAAAAAAAAAAAGCAACCGGTTGTAACGGTTCATTGTTTATTAGCTCGAGTTGTTTTTTTGACTCCGGGGAGGTTGGAGAGGGGGAATAACTTTCCGAAAATAGGTCCGAGAAAATTGTCTTGCGGGGGAGGAATGGATTTCTCGTCTTAAATATCCGGTTATTTTGAACCAAGCCGGTTAGTCAACAACCACTTATTTCTTCCATATCTTTGTATCTTGTCCCTCGTTTTTGGGAAGAAAAAAGTAATCTACATAGTTCCCCTTCTTTAACTGACAGAACGACTAACTGCAGAAAAAAAAAGCTTAAGTTTTTTCTTTCTTATGTTTTATATATATATGTCTTTATGAAAAAGTGGAAACCCTACCTTAGCAATATTAGGGTAATTAAAATTGTTTAATTATTAATTATAATTTTGTATAATAATTTACAATAGGGATGGCAAGAACCAATATTAATATTGATATTCTTATTTCAAAACATTGATGCGCCCTTATTATAAAACTTTTTAATTGCATTTTTAACCGAGCTAAAGCTAAAAGCTTACATCTAACAAATCATACATACCATTAAAATAACAAAAATCCTAGTTATTATATTACCGGTTGATTGTGCATTGTACAACTATTAGTTATTAAACTCTTATTTTCCATTGCTAAGTTTACTAAAATGGAATTCAGAGATTTGCATTGTCTAGACAGGTCAAAAGATGTCACACTAAATTAATTTTCTAAAAGATTACATGATGACTTTTCGGAATAAACGGACGATAGATAGCTAGTTATTTAAATATAATATTAAATCTAGACTTATTAAATTACAGTAAATATATTTAAGATTATTAACATATCCATGAAATGATTTTATATTTCACTTCTTCTTTCACAAAAGTACAATGGAATGGTTTTAAACTGCAATAGAATTGCCTTGATTAGGTGGATTTTAAATACTTTTTTCAAACTTAAAAATATATTTAAATTTTGTTTATTGTTTATTTAGGCTTTAAGGCCTGAAACGCTAGGATCATCAACAATATTTTAAAAGTTTACATTTAGTTAGAAAATTCCATTAATGTCGAAATATACAGATAAGCCCATAAGGCAGATAATAAAATTTTCTTGGCAGTAATTTAGTTGGTAGAAAAAATACTATGGGAACAGTATACGACTTCAAAGGAGGCCACGATACCGATAAAATATGTCCATGAATGGGTTTAATTACTCATAAAAATCGGTTTTTATTACACCATTAAAACTGCCCTCCTAAAATCTCCGCCGTACGCCCTTTCTGTTTTCATTCTCTCACTCCTTTCCTTTATGGCTGCAAAATTTTCATCTTCTCCAGTTATTTAAGACTCGCTTTTAATTTAAAAGTGGTGTTTTTAAATATATTTATTGTGCGATGAAATATTAACGATTGTTATGGATTTAAATAGGGGAATCTTTATGTGGTCTGAAATCATTTTGTATTTTCATATTATATTCAAATTCATGTATATATTAAATATAATTGGATATTTTTATTTTAATGAAATTTACATCTGTACATTAAAAATACAACAAATAAATGTGACATTGGTAACATGACTTCAAGATAAACTACCCATTGGTAGAACTCAAATTAAAGTTCTATATTAGAAGGTCCCGATGTCATCTTCTTTTCAGACGCCTCGGAGGGATCGAGGAGGAAGCAGGGTTTGAAACAAGAGGGTTCGGATGGTTCTGCAGTTTTTTTTTGTTTTTTTTAATCCGTAATAGTTGTAGATGTTAATTGAAGTGCATTTCTGTTTGCAAGTTAATTGAAATTTAATTTGTTATTAATTTTATTATATATTCTTTTCCTTATCGTTTTATGTATTTAAATAATGTCATTTAACTGTTCACATTTTATTTAATTTTTACTTGTTTTTCAATATTAAACTAAAATATTTGTCCAGCTATATATGACAAATAGTCCGTGGTACTAATCCCTTTTTATCGAATTACTAGCATTCGTCTGAAACTTCGTAAATAGTTCTATATACTACGGACTAAAATATTTATGTCCATATTTTGACATTGCAGATACGCCACATATCGTCATACATGTTAATATATCTCAGTTTAACTTTAAACGCTTAGCTCAGTTTCGACGAACGGTAACCTTCCCTATGTCTTATGTATGTTTCCGAGTCATCGTTGAACTCATTTTAAATGAATGCATGTTTTAAATAAGGTTTTGGATTCCCCCAGTTTCTTACTCGCTATTTATTAAAGATATTCTTGAAAAGACACATCTCCTCAACTTAATTATATGAATAAATTACAAAAAGTTATCCTATGAAAACTGCCAAAATCAGTTAAACTGGCATGAAGCGTTTTTATTTTGCATATTTTATACTTTATAGACTTCTTTGTGTTAGTTTTCGTCCAAAATATAAAGAAAAAAAAACATTTTAAAGGCAAATGCCCGAACGCGTTATGTATATTCATACTCTCTTCTTGAGTCCATCCTCTTCACCGTCCCGTCCTCCCTGCCATCCCCTCTCCTTCTCTCTTTCCTCCCTCCCCCCCCACCATTCTTCCTCGAAAGTATTAGAAATTCCGTAAGAGCCGTTTCTCTTTTCGAAATTATTTACATATCATGAATTCATAAATGATAATGGCTACATTGTTAGCCATCTTGGAATATTCATGTTAGCGATTTCATTTTTTTTTTTAAGCTCATCCCCGGCGGTTTTATTACCTCAAAAAGTAGCTGGGGAGGACCTTTATTAAAAGTTTGTATAATCAAGATGCTTCACCTGCTGTACATCCCATAATTAAATGTTAGCAGATGTTTACGTTAATAATTACAAAAAAAGGTTGTAAAAATATTTCTGATTAGCTATTACTTTTGTTGCCCAAAATCGGTCTTGGCATTTTGCAAGGCCAAGACCAAGACTGGAAAAAAAAAATACCATAGTTAGGTGTAAAATAAAATAATGTAGTTAGGTTTCTTCTATCTGAAAAAATACAGTAATATCTCTGTAATAATAAGCTTATAAGTAACTGTTAAGACTGTTGCG